CTTCCCTGTGGAGACGTGGTTCGATTGCTGCTATTGGGGGGCGATCTGAGCTGACACTGGAAACGGGAAGCGGTCTCCGGATGGAGCGTGGTGCGCCATCCTACCAGTGAACCATTCGTGTGGTTGTAGCCGAGGAGAAGCTGAGAGCTGTGAGTCTCTACACTGTGCAGAAGGAGATTCTGGAAGAGTTATTGAAGGTACTGAGGGAATGGCTCTTTTGCGTTGAGGATTTTCCTGGGAGAGGCGTATATGATATTACGCTCCAAGAGCAGGAACAGGTGACGACCATTATGGAGAGAAGGCATCAGAAGGAGGGACACATATGTCCCTGTGTCCAGAATTCCCCTGGTATTGACGAGACAGAGCCAGGAACAGTCTCGTGAGTTCCCTAAAGTGTTATTGGAGTCCTCAGCTGAAGTCGGAGTAAGGTCGGATTCTGAGGCTTCACATCCGGCTTCTCCACTCTTTGATGATCAAGCATTCTTTAGACTGATTGATATCTCTGGGTTTTCTCAAGAACCAGAGAGAGGAGAGAAATATGAAGACGCAACATGATTGGTGATGAGGTTTTATCCTCTGAGATGGTGTATATTTTTTCCCTAAATGTGAGAAGCATAAAGACTGCTACAAGAAGAGCAATGGTGTTTGACTTTTTAAAGAATTTAACCTTTACTTTTATTTGCTTGCAGGAATGCGGTCTCCATTTTAATCCACAAGTGGCTAAATAGGAACTGGGTCCAACAATATTTTTGAGCAATAATGGTAAGAATTTTGGGGTGGCGGTATTGTTTAGGGGGTGGGATTTTGAAATAGTTAAGGTGTTGGAGGTTGTGTCAGGGAGACTTGATTGTTTAAATAAAGTACCCCTGAACAAAAAGTAGAGTATTTAATGTTTATGCACCAGTAAATAGTGGAAAAAGAATGGATATGTTTCATTGAGAATGTATTTACCTTGGAGGGAATTTACATTTTTAATCAGGGATTTTAATTGTATATTAAGAAAGGAAGATAGGGTGGGGAGTGGAGACAATTATAAATTGGATAGTACAGGACAAAGTTTTAAAAATATTGTAAGAGATTTTGGGTATAAAGATATGATGGAGGTCACAAAGGGTAGTGAGTTTTTTTTTGTTTTTTAGTGATAAAGGCACGGTGATATCAAGGGGTTATAGCAGAACAACTTGCTATGCACAAAGTACCATTTTCAGATCATGTAATCCTGGAATGTATGGAGAGCGTGGATATGAAAATGAAGTTTGGAAAAGGTGTTTGGAAATTGAACGTGAAAATGTTAATGGATGATGAGGTGAGAGAAAGATATTTTAAAATGTATAAAAAAAAAAAAATGGAGTGAACATAAGGATTTTTTTGTATAACGGAATGGTGGGAATGGGTAAAAGTGAATACAAAAGTTTCTTTATAAAGTGTGAGTATGAAAGAGCTAAGCGGGAAAGAAAATGTTTTGATGAATGGAGTAAGAGAGTGGATTATTTATGTAGATTGCGTGATTTGGGTTATGATGTAAAGGCTGATTTAGAAGAAGCTAGGGAAAATAAGAAAAAATGGTTGGAAGAAAGAGGAAGAAAGGCAGTGTTTGCAGCAAAGCTGAATGTTTTAGTACAGGATGAGAAGTGTACGAGTTTTTTCTTTAAAAAAGTGTTTGAATGTAAATAAAAGTATGGATGGTGTTTTAAATGAAGAAGGAATGGTTATAAATGATAGGGTTTTAATGTTACAGGAAGTTACATCCCTATCTTTACATGAATACAAGTTTTTGTAAAATGATTTAAGTTTGGAAAAGGAATTTTTAGGGAAAATTGATAGGGGTATTAAGGAAGAAGATAAAATTTTTAATTGTATCCCACAACTTTTTTGTTTATCTATTTCTTTATCTAATTCACCTTTAAGTTAAATAAGACACCAGGAAGTGATGGTTTGCCGATAGTTTTATAGGATGTGTTGGGAAGTGATTGAGTGATTTTTTAGAAGTGTGTAAATGTGTTTTGCATAAGGGTGAGATGACTGAATCAATGAGAAATCGTGTGATTGTTTTAATTTTTTAAAAGGGAAATAAATTGGAACTAAAAAATTGGAAACCAATTACCCTGTTAAATTCGGATCATAAAATTTTAGCTAAATTGATAGTAAACAGAATGAGGTGGGTTATTGAGGATATGATTGGAGAAGAACAAATTTGTGCAGTACCTGGGAGATAGATTGCTGAGAGTTTGATAGGTGTAAGAGGTTTTATGATTGTATGGAGAGGAAGCAGTTAGTAGCGGTGGCTACGATTGATTTTGAGAAGGTGTATGATAGGGTAGCACATGACTTTATGTTTAAAATTTTGGAGAGAATGGTTGTACCGTTTATATTAAATTGGATTAAGTGTTTGTATGTGAATATTGAAAGTGTGGTACAAGTGAATGGATGGATGACTGAGGCTTTTTATTTACATTGCTGGGTGAGACCGGGATGTCCTTTGTCCCCCATTCGTTTTATTTGTATGATTTAACTGCTACTTCTAAGCATAAGTAAAGATAAGATTGTGACAGTAGTGCAAGGAGATTTAAAGTGATTGGGTATATGGACGATGTGACAGTGGTGTGCAGAACTCAAGTAGGGTTGAGAAGAATTAAACTATTGGTCGATATTTTTTGTATGGCGAGCAGTTTTAAAGTAAATTGGAATAAATGTGTATGTAAGGCTTTTGGAAGATGGAATGAATTAGAATTGTGTGGATGGCCTGTGAAGGAGGATGCAATTGAGATTTTAGGAGTAA